GGACAGCTGGGTCACATTTGAGATTCTTGAGTCATAGTTCCTTTCCCTTAGAACTTTGTAAATGATTTTCTATGATATTTAGGCAATGAGTATCACTATAAAAAGGGTAAAGCCAGTCTGATATTTATCTCTTTACACATGATTTGCTTTTCCTTTTGACACTCAATTGTCCCTAAGGTGTAGTAACTTCATCAGTATATCTCTTGGTGTTGATCATTTTGATAGTTTTTCGGGGATCCTGTATGTCCTACTGATCTGCTGACACATCTTTAGATTAGTAAATTCCCCTTCATTTATAAATATTCTAGTATTGTCTTTAACACATTTGTTCTGTTCTCTTTTTCAGGAACACTAACTATGCCAATTTTTCATTCTTTGTTTCTCTTCCATATGCATCATTTTCTTTATAATAATTTTTAGGTTATTCCTTTTCTATTTTCTTTTGTATTATTTCTTCAAATTTATCCATCATGTATTCAGTCATTTAACAAATATTTATTAGAGTGGGTGCTAGGCACAATTCTCAGCCCTGAAAATATAGTAGCAAACAAAAGGCAAAATTTCAGCCTTCTCAAATTTATATAGACAGAAGGGGACTAGCAATTATACTGGGGGGAAGGAATTAGGGTATTACTGTTTAACAGGTACAGAGTTTATACTGGAGGTGAAAAGTTTTGGATATAGATAGTGGTTATATGAACACAGCATTGTGAATATATTTCATACAACTGAAATGTGCACTTACAAATGGTTAGAAAAAGGTAAGTACTGTCAGACATTTTATCAAAATAAAAATAAAATAATACATTATTTTTAAAAAGGGTTTGGGAAGACAAGTAAGCTAATGCTATCCGAAGACTCTAACTATGAATTTGGTGGCAAATGAAGCAGAAAGATTTGGAGGGAGGGAAGACAAAACCCAAAAACAACAAAAAATTAGCCTTCACATTGTTTCTAATGGGGCATTCATTTTTATAATATTTTTTTATTCTCTTTTATTTTCCTAAGCACATCTTCTCCTTTTACAGTTTTATCTTCTTTAAGAATTCTTTCTTGCCCCAACTGGTATAGCTCGGTAGGTTGAATGCAGGCCTACGAACCAAAGGGTCGCAGGTTCGATCCCAGTCGGGGCACATGCCTGGGTTGCAGGCCAGGTCCCTGGTATAGAGGCAACCACACATTGATGTTTCTCTCCCTCTCCTCTTTCCCTCTCACTAAAAATAAGTAAATAAAATCTTTAAAAAAAAGAATTCTTTCTCAGTCTCACTTTTTCTACCTCTAAAAAGGGTTCTATTGATTCCCTAAAGAATATAGAATACCATTTCAAGTTTTCTTGGGTTTTCTTTGGGCAATTCATCTTGTGATGTTGATTCTTGATCCATCTTTGTCCCTTTTGTCAGTTTATGTATACAACGATCTCTCCTTCTATAAATTATTTCTTCCCACAGCTTTTGCAACATCATATTCTCCTAGTTTTCCTGCCACTTCCCTTAGTTCCTTCTCAGGTTTCTTTAACAGGCTCCTCTTCCTGTGTTAAAACGCTATTACTCCCTAAAAAGCTATATTCCCCAGCAATTCACCCTTAGCTGTGTTCACATTTTATACCTTCTTAGTGAATTTACCACTTCTACACTGATAAGAAATCACTTGCTTTTAATCATAATTGTTTCCAGTAATGAAAACAAAGCTAGGTATATAGCAAAAGTTCAGTACAAACATATGCAGTAAATAACTCCCATGTCTATATTTCTATCCTGGATCATATTCTTATATTCCACTTGTATCATACACATGTCCAGATGGACTCTTAAATGACACAATCAGCAGGTCTAAATCCTAACTCACAGGCTCTCTCCCATTACATCTTCTAACTCAAAAATAAAGTGAAATTAAAAAAAAAATAACCTATTCTTTCTTTAGTAGCTTCCACCTGGAAGAATTATGTTACCATCTGTCAAATGATCAAACCAAAAGACTGAATGCTATCCCATTTCACTTTTTTGTGTTGCATGAGTACATAATGGTCTTGCATTGAAGTCTAAAATCAGGGAGTGGTCATGAATTCTAACTTGCCTTATAAATATTAAGGCACTCTTGCTCAATGGTTCCTAAATGAAGTAGCACCCCTCCAACCCACATCCAAGAAATTTGAGAATGTGCCAGGGCTTTTGGAGGTCACAGTGAATGGGGTACTACAGACACTGTGGGTAAGGACCAGGGAGGCTAAACATTGAGCTCCATGTTAGGAATCCTCTATAAAAACTGCTCAACCCCAAATGCCCATTTGCCATAGAAACAATGCACCTAGCAATACACACACACACACACACACACACACACACACAAATATGTTTTTAATCCTCACCCCAGGCTGTATGTATGGATTTTAGAGACAGAGGAAGGTGGGACGGGGTGGGGATAGGAAGGGGCGGGGAGAGAGAGAGAGAGACATCGATATGAGAGACAAGCATCCATCAGTTGCCTTCCATAGCATCCCAACTGGGGGTTAAACTGGAACCTAGGTAGGTGCCCTAACTGGGAATCTAACCAGCAACCTATTGGTGTATGGATGACACTCGAACCAACTGAACCACCTGGCCATATCCACCTAGCAATACCTTTAAGCCACAAGATGGCAATAAACTCCAAGAAAGTCCTGAAATACCACTTTCTGGTTAAAAAGAAACATGTAGTTTCTAAATGCCCAAACAGAAAACGGTTTTGTTTAAAAGTGCTGAAAAACACTTTTGAATGAACCAATGCATTCCAACTTTCATTTGTAATGGAGATTATAGATAATTCTTTCTAAATTAAGATTTCCAAAGAGGCACAGAAAATCCTGCACTTGTGCTGGAAACCTCATTCTGCTAAAAAGAGCATATATCCAACAAAGTCTTCATTTTTCAATAACTTCATTTTTAAAAGGTCAAGTAAACATTGGCAATAGTATGCTAGATATAATCTTTGTCCTCTGAGGACACAGATTACACTGAGTCAAAAACTCTGGTGCTAAGTTGAAAGAATTCCCTTAAGATATCAAACTAATACCTTTTTTAACAAAGATTTTATTTCTTTATTTTTAAAGAGAGGGGAAAGGAGGGAGAAAGAGAGGGAGAGAAACATCAATGTGTGGTTGTCTCTTGTGCACTCCCTACTGGGGACCTGGCCCACAATCCAGGCATGCACCCTGACTGGGAATAGAACCAGTGACCCTTTGGTTTGCAGGCCAGCACTCAATCCACTGAGCCACACCAGCCAGGGATAATACCCTTTTTTAAAAGATTAAAAACAAATGATCAATAAAGTAGTGAGTACCATTTTCTTAAGGGGTTTACAAATTAGCTCCTAAAACAACTCTAAAATGTTTTAAGGAACAGAATTATATAATAACTATCGACATGTTCCATGATCACATTAAAAGAGTATTCTGAGATTAAGTACTGCTCATTTATTTAAGAAGCCAATCATTTGACAGTCGTATCTTTAAAGACATGCTTATTTTAAATGGCTTTAGTATATTCTTCTGTTTCATAAAATACACCTTAATATTGAAGTATGAATAAGTGAGTCTCTACTTCCTAGCCAAGGCAATTGAGGGTTTATTGTTTCCTCATCTGGAAATAAGAATAACAAAATACCTACCTTATAAAGCTACTGTAAGAATTTAAAGATTAATAAGTGTTATTAATACCCTGGTACATAAAAAACATCTAATAAATGTTAGAAGTAGTATTGGCTATTATTATTATTATTTATTCCTAGTTTTGATTATGAAAAACTAATGCTATTAGTATAGGATAATTTAATTCAGAAACAAGGACAATATTATTAGAATTTAAACCCTGCAACCCTAACATATATCATAGTATCCAGGGACTAATGATTGTTAGATAAATAATCCTAAACAAGTAAATCTCATTGGGTGTCATGTTTTGCAGGCTCTAGATCCATGAATTTAACCTATTTTACAACTAGGAATCCTATTTTATTGTTTTCCAGTTTCTTGACAATGTTTGTGCAGGTTCCAGGCCCCATTTGGTACAACGTCTATAGCTCATGCAATTTAACGCCCTCTCAGGGCACACTCACACCACAGTGCTACAGAAGCACCTGAAAATTTGCTTCAATTCTCTGCAAAGCACACTGACAAATAGATAATAGTGCAGTGGCCTTGGTAGTCATCACCAAAACATTCAAATTTAAGATGTTATTGAAAATATGTAAGTGATTTCTATATTTCAAGATTAGATCCCTGGTTTACATCTTTCCTAAACAAATTAAGACCATAATTCCAATATAAGTTATGACAGTCAAAAGAAATTGAAATGAAATCTTTTTCTATGTCTGAGTGTAATGGAGCTATCGGTGCCCACCCCTAACAGGTTCTCCTTTCCTGTATAGAAATATGGGAGAAATTTATGTCCCAGGTGTTTCTATTAGGCAGATGCCATAGAAAGAGCCATTGCCTCTAGCCTACAAAAGATAAGAAGTTAGTCTGTCATTTCTGGGTCGGGGCACGGAGAAGTCTGTGCCGTATCCATGTTCTCTTTTTCCTGGAAAACACTGAGACAATGGCCTTATGAGGGGACACTAAGTCCTAAGTCAAAGGATGAAAGAGATCCATGTTAGTCTTGGTGCGAGGGAGAAATAAACTTTTGTTGTGTTATGCCACTGAGTTTTTGGACTTTATCACTGCAGCATAGCATAGACTAGCCTGATAAATACCCTGAGGTACCAATACTTCATTTTCCTCTCTATACACTACCAATCAAGTGGTAACAGAGATAAAAGAGGTGGGAGAAAGTATGTACGAGTGGGCAGCAATAACAGAAATGTCAGAGAATGCTAACAATGTATGGAAAGCAGGGGAGACAAAGTAAAAACACAGTAACACAGTAAACCTATTCTTCTTATGGAGCCCTGGATGTCTCATTTGGCACCTTCACTCTGACCATGGAACATCTCTGCACAGAGACAAAAATATTCAGAGCAATTCTTACCTACGTAACTGAGCATTTTCACTTCTTAGTGGTTGCATGGCCAGTGCTATTTCAACTTGAATATTTGTGTTTCCATTTGCTGCTGGAAGCAGAGATACACATGCCTCCAATTCTGTAATCAATCTCTGAATTTCTGAATCCTCTACAAAAGGCAAAAGAAACAAGTAAAACCACATTGTAAGTTGTTTTGGGATAAGATTAAGATTATTCATGTATATTACTGAAAAAGACAATTTTTCAGATATGTACATACTCACTATAAATAAACCCAATTGTTTCTACATACACAAACCCTATTTTCCTCTTTCCTGCTGCCTGCTTATTCTGAAAAATTCTAAAAAATTAAATTCAGACAACTAAAGATTAATCCTTAATCACAGCATTATTAGTGATTTTTCTCAGCATCTAATAGGAAGATAATTTACACCTATCTCCTAGCTCACATTATCAAAGGACTACTGGATAGCTCCTATAATTGCTAACAGTATTCATACTTATGACAGTCTTTGATTCTGCTGTAAATAATTTACTTTAAGTGATCCAAGGTGACAAAATATTGAGGGAGGTTCTCTACTAAGATAAAGTATTATTACTTAATTTTATAAAGGAGATCTAACACAACCAGCCACACCTCATTTGATGTAGCATCAAAAGCAGTACCCTTCTTTCAGTAACTGGGGGAAGTGGATGGTTTTGGAGGTGGCAAGCATAGGTAGAAAGTAGAATATGGATCTGTTGTCCTTTTATCTTTCTCCTTTCACGTCCATTAAAATATTTTATAGGCTGAAAACACTTAATATTTATAATATTAACTGATACCCAAAAGAGGCAGGAAGTATATTCTAAGTAACAAGAAATAACTCAACCCCATGGGTATTTTAGCACCCTGATGAAAAGGATATGCACACAGTAAGCAACAATGTGCATTTACTAAGCAGCCCTCTACCAATCCTTTGTATAGCGTTTTTGCTCATAAGTGTTGGAGGCAGTGACCTGGGATTCCCCACTTTTTAGCATTATAACTGTAGTCAAATTACCTAACTCTTGCAGCCTAAATTTCTTCATGGTTAAATGTAAATAACAGTACCTCATAGGGTTGCTAAGAGGAGTGAATGAGAAACTGTTCTCCAAGCCTAGGTTTCCTCATCTATAAAATGGGAGCAATAACAGTACCTCATAGGGTTGCTGTGAGGATTAAATGAGATAATTCACATAAAACACTTAGCACAGTGCCATGCATATGGTAAATGTTCAATAAGTGATAGCTAATATTGTTATGATTATTGTGGTTATTATGATTAACTATTTGGTTGAGAGAACAGTGATAAATTGAAGGTCCGAAAACAGATTTTAATGTGTCAAACCTTTGGAATATATTCCTATAAATAAACTTAATAATTGATATTTTTGTCTGTCCATCTGCAAATATTCATTCAGTGCTTCCCCAATCACTGTGTTTTCTAAGATGACAAATCTCTAACTCGCTCTAAGAAAAAGTCATTATTTAGAACACACATACATAACGCAAGCAAATGAATACAACCTGGCTCAAATATCTCATAACTCCACTTAAGACATTTTTCTTGATTCAATCAAAAAATCCTACAAGTAAAATGAAAAGGACATAAAAAGGTTTGGGTTACTTCTCATAGTGAGATTTGTTAAACATTAGAATAGTTGGTTAATAAAGAAATGATGGGAAGAAAATCTCTGCATCTTTTTAAAACAAAATTATGAGTCTCTTCCAGGTAGTTGATCATCTTTAGGTGTTAACCCCTACAAGTTTATCCCTGCAAATTCTTTTTGGTTGAATCTTCTCAAGATCCCTTTTGATCAAGTAGAATGAACACACACACTTGCAACTAGACTGTTTGATATTCCCCAGTACATTTCAAATCCACAGCAATCAAAATCTAAAAAATAAGACTAAAGCTGGTAGAACTCATTTCCTTATTAGCTAGCTGGAAATATACTTCTATGGAGAATACCACAAACTTCATGATGATTATTCTAAATTTAAACGATGACTAAATAATATGGCATTGCTATATAGCATTAGCACCATGCTACAGAAAATTTTAAGGTACTCATTTACCTTGTTCTGCTACCAGGGCCTTTAGCTCTCCCAACAAATACTTTATAATTCTAAGTTTTTCAGCACTCTGGCTCCCATTTTTTGCTTTCTGGACACCTTTTATTCTTGAATCTCGCACATGTATGTTTAAATCCTTTCCTTCACTTGTAACCTCTCCAATTCGTTCTTTGACACATTTTTCTTCATTAGTGGCCAAGACAGCTGGCTGTAATAGAGTGGGGCTTCTGTGCGTCTGACTGTCCGGATATGAACGGAACAGATTCATATATGTTTGGAAATACTGTAATAGGTCTGGTTCCTTAGAAACTTCTTGTTGTGGCAGAATTCCATTAGCAAAGTCCAGCTGCTGAAATGCTGGAATAGCTGCTTTGTCAGTTTTGGGCAGGCTACACTGAACTCCAAGACTAGTACTAAAGGTATTCCTTAGAATATCAGTACAGTTCACAGAAACTGTTTTATGTTGTGATGCAGACTGGTTGTCACCATCAGTCTGAACTTCCTAAAGAAAGGAAAAAAAAAGTTAACCCTTCAAATATGTGAACACTGGCATTAATTATAATAAATTCAAATCAGAAATATTAGAAAATGACTTCTGCAGGATGGAGTTATAGATTATCAGTGAGTAAGCTGGATTTCCCCTTAGTACAATATTATAGTTGTTAAAAAGTTAATTCGTTTATTCTGCAATATAGGAATATTATAAAGCTATGACTAAAATAAGATCGTTTAGAAATATCACTCATGGTTTAAAGGAAAAGGCATCAAAAATTAGCCCACTTGGAAACTAAAACAAACTTCTACTTTGGGAAATTTGATTGTAAGAAAATAAGCTCAAACACACAAAACGATTTTACACAAACTTACAGAAATGTTACAGTAGTCAAAACTAACTGTTGCTTAAATGTCTGCCATAGGGGAGTAGTCACACAGACCATGGTATTTCCACTAAGTAGAGTATAATCAACTTATTAAAAATTTACAGACTGTAGATAAACATGAAAACATGTTTATAATAAAAGTAAAAAAAGCAAAATATGAAACAGTTCAAAATTTAATTATGACTTTTTTTTTTTAAAAGCAAACTTAGCCCTGGGTGGTCTAGCTCGGTGGGGTTGAGAGTGGGCTGCGAACCAAAGGGTCCACTGGTTTGATTCCCAGTCAGGGCACATGCCCAGTGGGGGCCATGTGGTAGGCAACTGCACAATGATGTTTTTCTCCCTCTCTTTCTCCCTTCCTTCCCTTCTTTCTAAAAATAAATAAATAAAATCTAAAAAAAAGAACAAAAAATAAATAAACTAAATAAAAAAGCAAACTTAAATAAAAACCAGAGAACAAAATCTACACAGAGAATTAAATGATTGGAAAGTTCTCTATCAATGTTAACAGCAATTGTGTTTGGTTGGTTGGTATGAGTGGTTTCTTTTTTCCATTGATCTCTTCTCCCTTTTCCCCCCTCACCATTGTCTTCAATAAACAGGTAAAACAACTTGGGTAATAAAATAACTTGGAAAAATAATCGGTTTTTACACATCCTAGGGCATTAAGATATAATCAGTAACTTCAATTTTCTCTCTTAAGATGACAATTTCTAAAAGTTACTTGTATAGTACATAAATTGTACCTACAGAATGAACCACTGGAGGGCAGGGTAGCTGCTGAGGTAACTGGACTGGGGTGGAAGTAGGTAAGCCATGACTAGAATGTGGAGTTGCCTGCGAGTCTGAAAGGTAAGAGAGATTAAAAAAAAGTCAGTCACATCTCATATTACATATAATAACCAGTCAACTTAGTAAAAGTTTATATTCACGTTTTGAAAAACATCATTCACACTAACCAGAACCAGACCCAGTATGGCAAGGTACAGCAGGAATTCCATTAGGGTTGTTCTTTGAAGCCAAGTTCTTCATCAATGACATTTGAGTCTGCACATGCTCACAGAGGGCTTGGTATATTATGGGTGAGTACATTCTATAATGATCTTGGAATGACCAATTTTGTGGTATATCTGAGGAGTCTCTTTCACTTCCAGCAGAAGTTTCACTAGATATCTGTTTCTTATAATCTGAAGATACTAATGTGGAAGGAAAAAAAATCCGTAAATATGATTCTTCAAAAACTTTTATCATACATTAGGGAAAAAAAGGACTTTCAGAAATAGCTCAATTCATTTTATGTTTTACAGAAGGGTTTTTACCTCTTATCAACCATAAAGAAAATAACCTCAAATTCTTTTTTGGTTTGTAATCAATTAAGTTTTCCAGTCAAAATTATCTTACTATGTATTTAAAATCTCTTTTAAATGTTATTTATAAAATCTCTCCTTCAATTAAAAGACCTCTCTTAAGGGTGTCATTGCTCTCTAATATCCAATAAAACTCTTTCGCCTTGCTCCTTATCCAGTTTCATGTTCTTGGAGGAAAATGAAATTTGAAAAGCAGAAAATTTTGTGACAAATCTGATGCTTTGATGGTTAAAAAAAAAGTCAATCAGAGCTTTGAGAGCAACAATGGACAATCTACACATTGAAAACTCAAACAAAATCCTAATCTGGCATTTAAAGTCTCCAAAGCCTGACCACAACCTACTTTTCCAACCATCACCCTCAACTCAAATTTTTCACTCCAGTCAGGCCCATTTAGACCCCAACAAGCCTTTTTCATCCTCCTATAGCATTACTCAGAATGAGTCATTTCTTCCAATGCAATTCTACCGACTTAACAAGGCTCATCCGAAGTCTTCCCTCTTCAGTGAAGCCTTTCCCAATCATTCCAGTCCAGTGACTGCTCTTCAGCATCCCAGAGCACATACTGTCTACACAAATCACTACCACTTGCACATGTACTACACTGCTTATCTTTCATTTTCATCTATCTAACGAAAATAAGCTTTTTCACACAAAACTGCATCTTATACTTCATTATTTTCTCCCATAGTCCCCTATTAGTCTAAGTACAAAGAAGTAACCTGTGTTAGTATATTAATACATGAAAAACATTTTCTACATAGTACTACTTTATAGATCAGAATAAAATCTATTTCCCTGTTTAATAAGATCTCCTTCCCAAATGTTTTTTAAAGACCATTAATAGAAATTACTATGTCCTTGGTAGATCACAGGTTATCACGATAAAAAAGATAAATTTAGAATAATATGTAGCTTTTGGCATATATTAAAGCTGAACATACCAATATTTTATGACACAGCAATTGTAGCCCAGACAGAAACCTAATAGAAATGAGTGTTCATGTATATGAAATGATGTGCACAAGAGTGTTCACAACAGCTTTATTTGCAGTAGCCAAAAACTGAAAACACCCAGTAGCCATGACTAGGAGAAATGGATAAGCTGTACACAGCAATGGAAAAGAACAGATTATGGATACACACAACTATTTATATGAATTTAACAGACATAATGCTTTATGAAAGATATCAGACACAAGATTGCACAGTGCACAAATGCATGTACATTAAGTTCGAAAATAGGTAAAGCTATCCAATGGAGATAGAAGCCAGAAAAATGGTTACTCAGAGATGAAGGGACAGCTGATGGTGAGGATACTGATAAGGCAAAGCCTGATAGGATATTGAAACTGTTCTGTATCTTCATCTGGGTGGTGACTATATGGGAGTATACATACTCAAAAACTTATCAAAATTTATGCTTTATGAAAGTTATTCCTTAATTGTTTAAAAAGTGAAACAGTTAAATTTTTGTTATGAAATTCCACAAATATAGTATATTAAAAATAAAAACATTCTAAAAGCATAAAGCTTATATACAAAAGCAAAAGGTTAAAAGCAAATTAAATATTATAACCAATGAAGACAAAAAAAATTTTAAAGAAAAACAGTAAATTAAAATTTGACTATGAAAATAGTTAGAGATATTAAATAGCTCCATTTTGACTTGAGGTATGTCTCCTTTTAAGATGATCTATTCCTGTGAACCTACATCCCAGGCCTGAATACAAGCTCTAACATGAATTAGCTGAGTAACTTATACCAAATTACTTAACTTCTCATCAGAAAAAATGATAATAAAAATATTGCCTACTTTAGAAGGTTATTGTGAAAAGCAAATAAGGTAACACTTGTCAAGCATGTCTAGCAAATAATAAGAACTCAATCAATGTTATCTATATTACCAAATGACTGCAAAGTCTTAGGACAGACAACTAAATATTTCATTCACAAATTTCCCATCTGATATGGATAATAAACCTCAAAGTATGTCTCCCCCTTTTAAGCAATGATAGTCATTCTTTACTATCTGAATAAATGAGCTACAACAAAATGGGTTAACATTTATGTAAAATATATTTCTAATTGGAAGTATAATTTTACTATAAATCAAATGGAAAAGTATCCTCTAGAATATCTTAACTTTGAAATCTAAAATGATGGAAGGTAAGATCATAGTCAGCCCATGGCTATGCAGCACATAGTTCTTTGTTTCCTCTTAATTCATAGGTCTCTCTTCTGCTCTTGTATTTCCTTTGGCCTCAAGTAAGACAAGAATTATCTGGCTTGAGGAATTCTCAGATTTCACACTCACAGGTCCCAGGCACTGACTCTCATTCACCTTCTTTTCAAGGGGTGATTTTCATAGTCTCTGATAAAGCTGAGCTACAATGTTAGGCTTCTGCCAGCAGATGTCATCATTCAACATGAATTACTGAACTTCACATTTCTTAAAAATCAAAGCCTTAGAATTAAAATGACTTAACTCCTCCTTTATTAATTCAGTGCATATGAAACTCTAATGGTGGAGATTTGTATCTGAGAAAAAATCTTAGCCCTGACTGGTGTGGCTCAGTGGACTGAGTGCCAGCCTGTGAACCAAAGGGTCACCAGTTTGATTCCCAGACAGGGCACATGCCTGGGCTGCAGGCCAGTAGGAGGGAGCGTGAGACACAACCACACATTGATATTTCTTTCTCTCCCTCCCTCCTTTCCCCTCTCTCTAAAATAAACAAATAGAATCTTTTTAAAAAACTCTTAAAACAAGCTATCCAAGGCAAGTGAAAACCAATAAATGGATATAAAAAAGAATGCATTTATATTATTATGCAATTTTAAAATAAAAAAACAACAACAAAATGAGCCTGTCACTACATAAATACAAATGAAGCATATGTTCTTGCTCTTGTTCATCACACTGCAGCACCCTACATGAACAGTTTACCTAGCAGATCAGGATGGCAACACGTCTAATTGTTGTCAGTTGATAACTAGAATCATGAAAGGGATGCATTCATTTATTCAGTCCACAGAAGTTTTTCAGTCTTTGAATTCTAGCTGCTGTACAGCACTGTTGCTTGGGTGTACACGTACTGTCTGATGAGTAATATAATTCCTGCCAGCCAAATATAGAACAAACATCTACTGCAGATAAGAACTGATGGGTGCCTATTATAATCTGAAATATGGAAAAGTGTGCCTGGCCTAGATGGGGGCAATCAGTGCTGACAGTACCCTGCCTGTGGTATGTTATTTCCCCAAGGTAAGCACAGCAACACATGTACATTAACTGGAAGCAGAGTCATGTGCCCACAGCATTCAACAGTGATCAAATGTGGAAAGCTACTTATTAAAAAAATGTTTTTTCTTTAGTTGTCAGGAGCACTCTAAATGTAAGCTCAATGCACTTCTGGAGCTGCCTGTCTGCCTCCTTCCTCCTACTATGCATCAAAGTTGATGGGCTTGACTCCAGACACTAAATGATCAGGCCGGTCCTAGGCAGAAAGTTCATATAGGATCATGCCTCTGAAGATGGTTAATATAAAATAGCAAAATAATGTATGCTAAAATTAAAGTTATATATAAATACTAGTTAACATACTGTAATAGATTCCTTAAAATTCTCACCTGTGGAGATTTACCTCACTTGTGGAAGGATGGAAAAAAGAGCAAGTACTAAGCATGGTTTTTTGTGTATTGCTGAACACTGCGATAACACAGTATTAACCAGCTGCCAACCACACACAAAAAAGATATACTTTCGAGGTAGTGCTACAGTTTGTAAACTAGAAAAGATAGAGTCATTGAATCAAAGGAAAAAAGGCTTCTGCTTTTAATGAGTCAACCTTCAGAGTAAGTCAATGAGCATTCATTTCTAATATTGTAACCCTAAAGGATGCTGTTCTGTGGGATGTAAGTCCTACGTTTTGATGACGAAAGTATAGGGGAAAGGACAGTAAGAATATGGTAATCGGCCCTAGCTGGTGTTGCTCAGTGGTTTGAGCGCCAGCCTGTGAACCAAAGGGTCACCAATTTGATTCCCAGTCAGGGCACATGCCTGGGTTGCAGGCCAGGTCTCCAGTAGGGGGCATGTGAGAGGCAACCACACATTGATCTTTCTCTCCCTTCCTCTCTGTCTAAAAATAAATAAATAAAATCTTAAACAAACAAACAAACAAAAAATGATCTGTGATATTGTGATCTGATGAGAGGTTAGAACTGCTGATTTGACTGTAAACCAAGTAAGAATTTAATGCTTGGGACACAGAATGCCAGACATCTCAATTTGCTCCTTCAAATCCACCCTCTAACTCATCTCCACCTTGCTCTCCCTAAGATCTACATACAGTATATGGATTACATTATTAAGAGACGGTCCTTCATGAGTCTTCAGCTCCTATGTTTCTTGCTGGGTATACCAAGAAAGTAAGGCATGACCTAAGCTCTTTACCTGGGCTGTTAATCAGGGTGAAACCTTGAGCTACCTTCAGAGATAAAGTAGTGTTTCCCCTGAGATAAGTATAGGCTTGCTTACTGCTTACTACCCAAAGCAATGTAATCACCAACTCAGTGTTCCTTAGCTGAAATTTAAACTTCTACAGCATATCTAGCATCCATCTGTATCCATCACATCACCCCCATGGGAATTGGTGGCAAGGGGAAACCAAGACAAATATGCTGATGCACATGCTGCTTGCTGCGGTGTAAGTAAGACTCCTTTGTCTCTGACCCGGGAGTCTTGTGTCTCCTGCCAGTATCTGTGACACAGTAAGGCAAACTTACTAGCTTATAAGAATAAAAATCAAGTTGGATCTGATCCAATGGGATTCTTGGCATTATCAAGGAAAGAAAGCATGGGGTCAGAGTATGTATGTTCCTTAAATGAAATTCACTGTTCTTGTCGAGGTGCCCCATTCTACACAACAGCATCCGAGCCCCAGTAACCCTTCCATCACCTCATCCTTTAAGGCCTAGAAATGATAACAGCTCCACTGCTGCTAGCACTGGGTCAGTACAATCCTCTGTGGTTTTCCTATAACCCACTCACACCTTCGTAATGAGTTTCTTTGTAAATAAACCCTCCTTGAATTATCAATTGAAGTGTTGCCATCTGTTTCCTGTTGGAACTCTGAATAACAAACAGTTACTATGGGATCCAATTTACTACCATGGCACCATTGTCAGCCATGAATGTTGCAAATGAGAATTCTTTGAGGAAGGGTGCCCTAGACAAGAAATAACCAACCTTAAGAAAAAGTAGGACACTGGAGGAACAGGCAGTTGGTACTAACCAATCCTCTTTGTCCACTGAGCCTCAATACATAGGCCTCTGCTTTAAGAGTTTAGAACAAGGGTTGCCCTGGCCAGGTGGCTCAGTTGGTTGGAGCATCGTCCGTGCACCAAAAGGTCACAGGTTCAATTCCCAGTCAGGGCACATACCTAGGTTGCAGGCTCAATCCCCAGTCAGGTAACGGACAGGAGGCAACCAATCAATGTTTCTCTTTTTCTCTCTCTTCCTCTCTCTAAAAGCAATAAAAGAAATAAAAACATCCTCGGTTGAGGATTAAATGAAGAGAGAGTTTAAAATAGGGGTTAACACACTTTTTCTTAAAAGGCTAGAGGATTAATATTTTGCGCTTAGTAGCCCAGATGGCCTCTATCACAGCTACTCAACTCTGCTATTACAGCACAAAAGCAGCCACAGAAAATACATAAATGAATTAGCATGGCTATGCTCTGATAAAACTTTATTTATAAAATAAATAAAATAACTAGACATTATTTATGAAATAAAACTGACTATAGTACGCTGACCACTGGTTTAGACTAATGCTGACCAATTAAAATATAATGTAAACCATATATGCAATTTAAAATTTTCTAGTAGTTATATCAAAAAAGTAAAAATAGGTAACATTAATTTTCATGATTTATTCAAATCAGTATATCCAAAATATTAACATTTCAACATGTAATTTAACTTTAAATGTTATTTTTTTTGCATTAAATCTTCTAAACCTAATGTGCATTTTATACAAAGCACATCTCAATCTGGATGCTAAATTTTCATCAGAAATACCTGATCTGTATTTGGATTTAATAAAATTTACAGCTGCAAAAGTAGATTCATGTACCCATGTTATTCCAAACATACTTAAATGTTTTCTAATGACTGGATCAAGTAACCACTTCCAAGTTTAAATTAATTAAAATTAAACAACAGTTACAATTCAGCTCCTTGGTTGTACCAGCCATACTTCAAGTGCTCAATGGCCATCTGTGGTTAGTGACTACCACCCTGAATAGCACAGGTCAAGATAATGTGAGGCTAAATAAATGTAGCTGGCTTCTGACTTAGTTCTCTGACTCAGGGACCATATGGAACATCCATCTCCAGTCTAGGGTTACTCCTGTACTTGATTTTCTAAACTTCACCCCTTGCCTGAGCTGAATCTCAGCATGCACTGCTGTGCTAATGTTTTCGGCCCACCTGAGCTGTGAAACTAGCTTGTCATCATTCTTGTTCATCTGAATTCCCATTGTGGAAATTTTCATCTCCATTTTGGGCTATCTTGTTCTATAGGTCTCCAAGGGACAACATAAGCAAAACTTGCTATTTCTAAGCTGTGTGCAAAATTATCATACTTAATTAAGTCAGCAAGTTAACTGTGAGGGTGTAAAATATCCTTGGCTACATTCACCATCAATCAGTAGTCAGTAGCAGGCCCTCTGCCCCTGGAATTTTACCTTCTTACATACCATGCATTCCAACTGTGCAGCTCAACAAGTTAAGCTACCAAACCTACCAGGATATATACATATGCCAACAATTTAAAAATAATAACCCAGTGAATTTGTGATTATCTGTGGAAACAAGTGGCAGGGAGAACAAAGATAATTCAACACACCTCCCAAATGGCATTGTGAGTTTTAATCTTGTCTCCTATAAACCTAAGTCACTTTTCTGCTTTTGTTCTTGGGAACTTGTTAGTAAACAAAGTAACTAGTTGGCAATTAGAAGCTCACTAGGTAAAGAGAGGCACACACACCTGAATAACCAATATATGATTAAAATGAAAGATCAATTGCACAATCCTGATAAATTTATCAAAATCCTCAGAATTAAGTAGTATATTTAAGTAAGTAAAAAAATACTTACAAATTTCTTTCCGGACTAATGAAGGAAGAGTATGTTTTTCACGTCCTTTCTTTTTAGATCCATACCTTTTGCCCTCCAAAGGTCTAGGATTATATCTATTTTCTGAATATGCTATTTCTGAACCTATTAATAATTAAAACAAAAATTCATAAGCATTAAAAGAACTACTTAATTGAGAAAAGGTGATCAGCAAAGAAGCATTTAAAAACTAAAACCTGAATCTTCATTTCTCAAAATGTTCTGCAGCAAAGAAGCACAACCATCAAGCCCTCGTACAGCTTCTGTCTGTAAGGAGAAAGTCATTTAGCAATGTGTACATAAAATTTCAATGCAGGGAAAGAAAACTAATTGCATAGTTTTAATTTCTTTTAGGAACAATTTAGTATTGGTAAAAAACATAGTTTTAAAGCAAAAGCAACCATACTTCCTTAAGGCAATTAATACTTTACCTTTGAATTTTTGTTCCCAACTTTTAGCTTTTTCCTGAAGACTAATTAAAATAATGTACATTATATCGATTCAGTTTAATCTTACCTGACTTTCTGAATCAGAATGGATGGGATGGCCAGAATCTGCATTAAAACATGATATCTTTCTTAAATGAGTCCTAGAAAATAAATTGAACAGTCTTACAAATAATACACATTTCCCCCCAAAAAATATATTATAAGTAGTTATTTCCTTTTTAGCAAAGGTTGGATAAGAAAACTTATCCAAACATGTATAAAACAGATCTATACAGCACTTCATGAAGACTGCAAAGACCAGTAAGCACTAAAATGACTGACATGAGTAGTTATGGAAGGCTCCTCCCCAGAGTTTTGTGATGGTAGAGACCCATCCAATTTTGTAGGTTAGGCTAAATTTAGTCCAGGCCAAAGACCTGAAAAATCCCTTGATATTTCCTAAAATTGTAACCTTAAGTACTTACGACTTCTTTCCATTCGTTAACTTAGCAGGTGCAGCGTGCTTTCCTGAAGATAACACCTACAAAATAATGTATTACATTATAGTAGGTATACAAATACTTTTCTTTATACTTTTATTATGCTGTCTTGACAAAATCTGAAATACTACTTATTGTTTCCTTCTTTTATTATGGTAAAACATAACAAAAAATTTACCATCTCTAAGTGTATATAGTTCTACAGTATTAAATGCATTCACACTGTTGTGCAATCGCTGCCATTATTCATCTCCAGAACCTGTTCATCTTCCCAAACTGAAATTCTGTACCCATTAAACATTAACTTCCCATCCCTTCCTCCCTTCAACCCCTGGCAAATGCTCTTCTACTTTCTGTCTCTATGAATTTGACTACTGTAGGAAGCTCATATAAGTGGGATCATACAGTATCTGTGTCCTTTTGTGACTGACTTTCTCTTAGCCCAGCTTCAAAGTTCATGCATGTTGCAGTATGTATCAAAATTTCCTACCTTTTTAAGAGTGAATATTCCATTTTATGAATGTACCATGACACTAATTTTTAATAAATGTGATAGTCTAAAAACCAACTCAACTCATAATTTGTTCTATATAAAATGTCAAGCAAGCAACATATATATTTGTTCCTTAAGTCTACTTTAGTTGAAAATGAAGTTGAGACTGTAAAATAACCAGAAGTACTTACTACAGTAAACTGGACTATACTCAATCCCTGAACATGTTCTACATTCCCCAAATTCTTCAAAACATGTAATTCAAGATATAGGGCAAAGTCCGTAACTCTGATTCTATTTACCCACATTCTTTATTAATGCCTGATAAGACCAGCACATACCATTCCTCTTTATCTACACCTTATTTTCTCAATGTTCCCTTTTAAAGTCATATAGCAATACTGTTTTTATTAAAATTTTATTTAAAAAGTAATATAAGTAGGCTACCATTTTTGTAGAAGAAAAAAATGTGTTTGCTTTTACATGCACCCAGTATCTTGATTGAAACAATTGTAGTTGCTTATGGAAAGGGAAACTGAGAATCTGGGGGAGAGAGCAAGGGAGACCTTCCATGGTATACCTTTTTATAGCTTAATAACTTTATATAAGATATATTATCTCTTTTAAAATATAATTTTTAAAAGACATGGTTAAATTCCCTACTCACTCCCTGATTTCATCATTCAGGTGCAGTCACTGTTACATTTATGATTTTCCTTGACATGTTTACATATTTCATCCCAAGAGCTCTGAGCAGTAACTGAACTGTCTGGAGTTATATCATGTGCTATTATTTGTTTGAATATGTACTCCCTCCTTTTAAGAATGCCACTGAGAATACAAGCCCTGGCTGGTGTAGCTCAGTGGATTGAGCGCGGGCTGGGAACCAAAGCGTCCCAGGTTCGATTCCCAGCCAGGGTACATTCCTGGGTTGCAGGCCATAACCCCAAGCAACCGCACATTGATGTTTCTCTCTCTCTCTCTCTCTCTCCCCCTCCCTTCCCTCTCTAAAAATAAATATAAATAAATAAAATCTTTAAAAAAAAAAAGAATGCCACTGAGAATACATTGAAAAAGTTGGGTCATGTCTTTCCTTGTGGTAACGGAATATGATGGAGTCACAGAGCCAGCAGTGAGAACCAATGTTTCAGAAATAAGGTCTCATGTAATACAGCCCTGCCAGTCCTAGCACACACTCAGGGTCATTCTCTTCTGCATATCTATGTTGATGTGCTAGCCAGAATCACAATAAAAATACAAACCATGGGGCTGTTAAGTCTAAAACAACTACAATTATTATCTTTCAAAATTAAAAAAAAGCACTGAGATAAATGTGTGTCATAACTGTATTATACATAGTATTTCTCCAAAAATATACATGAGGTTATATTACAATCAAGCAAAAAAAATTACCCAGGATAAGAACACCCCACAACAGTAATTACCATATTGACACAATGAGCATCAACTGATAATTCTTGCCTTAATAACTCACTTGCCAAGTATTGATTTTTCTAACTTACATCATTCCTTCTACATTTATTGGCATTTGACTTCAGTGAAACACTTTTCCTTCTCCATTTACTTGTTACTATAGACTCATTGATTCCTCTTTTATTCAATAGGTTATGTCCACTATAATTATTTTGATGCTCAAATTGTCCCAAATTCTATCAGTATGAGTCTCTTCAAACTGGTTCCTGTACCTTTTAACATGTCCCCATTAGTTTCTGAGCCATCCCTTACTTCCTGCAACAAGGGGCTTCAGGCTTTTCTTTTTTAATTGTGGTAAGATCAGTTAACATGCGATCTATTCTCTTAAATTTTTAAGTGTACAACACAGTACTGTTAACTATAGACATGATGATGGAACTTATCTTGCATAACGGAAAATTTATACTCACTGAATAGCAGCTTCCCATTTCCCACTCCCTCTCTGCTTCTATGAGCTTGACTCTTACTTTCTAAGTGGAATGATGTCCTTCTGTGGCTGGCTTATTTCACTCAGCATACTATCCTTAAGATTCATCTATGGTGCACATGGCAGAATTCCTACTTTTTGAAGATTGAACAATATTTCACTATGTGTATATAGCACATTTTCCCATCCACTCATCCATCAATGGACATTTAGTTGTTTCCACGTCTTGGCTATTGTGAATAATGCTTTAGTGAACACAGGAATTCAAATATCTCTTCAAGATTCTGTTTTTAATTCTTTTGGATAAATACCCAAAGTGGGAATGATTTTTTGAGGAAAGTTTATACAGCTTTTCATAGCAGCTGTACCCTTTTACATTCCCACCAACAGCAGACAGGATTCCAATTTCTCCACATCCTCACCAACGCTTCATTTTTTGTTTTGTTTTTGTTTTTAAATAATAACTAGCCTCACTGGTATGAGATGATATCTCATTGGTTTTGATTTGCATTTCCCTGATGACTAGTGATGTTGACACAAATCTTTTCATATCTGTTAGCCATTTGTATGCCTATAATTAATATTCACAAGTTCTTTGCCCATTTTAAAATCAGGTTATTATTTATTTATTTAGCTCTTGAGTTGTACGAGTCCTTTAGATATTGTGGATATTAACACTTTATCAGATATATGGCTTACAAATATGTATTTTCCCATTCCATAAGTTGTGCTTTCACTCTATTATTCCTTTTGCTGTGCAAAAGTCTCTTATTTTGATGTATCCAGGCTCATCTTATGATTTTCCTGGGTCAGCCCTGGCATTGACTATTTCACCAAAAGCTGTGGTTCCTTTTACTGGGCAATGTTATTTAAAAACCAACATTTAGCCCTGGCTGGCATAGCTCAGTGGATTGAGCGCGGGCTGTGAACCCAAGTGTCTCAGGTTCGATTCCCAGTCAGGGTATATGCCTGGGTTGCAGGCCATGACCCCCAGCAACCGCACATTGATGTTTCTCTCTCTCTCTTCCTCCCTCCCTTCCCTCTCTATAAATAAATAAATAAAATCTTAAAAAAAACAACAACTTAGATTTAAAAAAACAAAAACAAAAACAACATTTAGGCGCTAAATATGCTCTTTGCTACTGGGGCTTCCAATCTCTTCTCATATGTACTGTCACGACTTTATAGTCATAATTTTAAAATTTGTGTTTTTACTTTTAAATCTTCTTTCCACACTACAGTCTTCAAAATTTGTTAATGACTGCATAGTATTTCTTCAAGTACAAGTAATATAATGTGCCTTTGCTTTGCTTTATGTTTTTTCATAATTAAAAAATAAACCTGAAATAAACCTTTCCATATACTGAAAACGGCCTTTTCATATTCAGGATTAAAAGTTTAATTATTTGGTGAAAGGTTATTTGTTGTTTAATGGCCCTTGTTACAACTTGTAAAACCACCCTCCAAACTGAAAGCCCCAAAACACAATGCACTAGATAATCAGACTATTTTACCTCATATTTTCTTCCACAGTTTTCTTTGCTATTTGAGAAAAATATAAGCGTTTCTTAGGAATCAGACTTACAAGCAGTGTAAGCAAGATAAAATTACATTTGTGGAATGATTTCAAGTGTACTAAAGTCTTTTATTTCCACTTAATTCACAGCCTGTGAGCTGATACTGTTTCTAAGAGGTGGAAATCTAAATTTCAGAAAGATGATTTGTTAAACCATACACTTTCACAGCCTAGTGTAATGTTTAAAAGAATGGATTCTGGCACCAGCCCTGTGGGTGCAAATCCTGTCTGCACTGCTAACCAGTTACCGTTAAGGAAGTTACCAGTATCTGAACTGCAGGGAACTGCAGGGAGGTTATCTTTTTCTGAACTCTTCATCCCTCAATTTCCTCATCTATAAAATGCTGATGATAACAGTGTCTATCTCCTAAGGCTATAGTGAAAATTAAATGAAAAATTATATGTACTATATAAAAGCACTCAGAGTATCTTCACATTGCTATCTAAATGTCAGTTGCTATTATCATTAAGGTAGTAGTGAACTAAGTTTTGAAAGTGCCTAAATTTTGTTGCATTTATGTCAAGTGTGAGATATATGTTTCACCAGATTCTTTGATTTAATCTTCCCAATTCTTTGAGGCAGAATTTTATAAAGGAGATTCAGAGAAATAAAAAGTACTTTGCTTACTATCACTGCCATATAGAACAGGAATTTGAATCTGTAAGCTGTGACTACAAAACCATTTTATTACCCCTTGCTGACTGGGCATATTCTGAGTTGATTCAGTATAACAGAAAAGTCTATAAGGGTGGGTCTGGTCTGGAAGTACTGAGAAAGTCTTGAGCCAGGTCTTGAAAAAAGGGTAAGATTTACATTAATGGGGAAGACAGCATTATAGGTAAGTTAATAAAGGACAGAAGACCAAAAATCAGGGGGAAGGCTGGATATATTTAAGGGGGAGTAAGATCATTCTAAGTGGCGGGTCTCTGAAAGAGTTGATTCATTACCTGAAAAATCTACTATATGTCAGGTGCTGTCCTAGACTTTGAAAATGTAGACATAAATTGTGTGGTAACAGAGGCAGATAGATTAGCGACTTCTCCAGTCTGAAAAGTGGTTTGATAAATGTTAGAACAGGGCACAAAAGGAGACCTAAGAGGCACCCAAATAGTAGATGGGAGTGTTAAGCAAGGCTTCTTAGTACAAGTGGCCCTTGAGCTGAGACAGGAGATGGGAAGTGTAGCTACCAGCGATAGGAGTGCATTCTAGGCCGCAGCGAGTGCAAAGGCATGTTAGCATGAGAGGACACCGGGCTGCCAAGACACTGTAGAACAGGTGAACAGTGCTGGATAATATTGGACTAGGGGCGGCGGCCGGTAAGAAATACACAGGCCAGAATCAAAAAGTCTCAAGACAAAGAACTGAGATTTTATCTGGAAAAGGAAGTGCTCCAATGTCAGATTTTTAGTAGAAAAGAGTCATTTAGTTACAACTAGGAGTGTGCATTTGAGGCGGGTAGGGCTAAAGGCAGTGACACGAACTAGGCTTTATTTTTTAACTACTACTAAAACCCAAGCAATTGTGACGAAGGATCAGCTAAGAGCGGCACTAGGTGGAAGAGCCGAGAACCTGGATTTGATGCAACAATGTACTGAAGCTCCAAGATGTTAAGTCACCAGACCCTGCAGCAGAGTCTGACCTCCAAATCCCAGTCCTACAAAGCCAGAGCTCTGGAGGGCTACAATGACTAAAACAGAAGGTACAACTACGGACACAGCGGCTATTTTAGGATGTTAGGATTAGGTGTCTTCCCCACTTCTCTTCCCAGCATTTCCAACGCGGTCGCAGTTTTTTTTTCTTCCAGTTTTCCACTTCTCCCGGCCTGAGAACACCCTCCATTCCCACAGTGGACGCGTGAGATCCACAGCCCTCACCTGGCCTTGTCGAGATCCGGACCTAACCATCTCTCGCAGTCTCCGTGAGGCCCAGACCAAAGAAAGCAACACTGCACAGTAAAAAGAATTAACCGCCGTGGACTCCCGGACGCCCTCGGCCCGCCCTCCGGGCTTCCGCTTCCGGAAGGAGCCCGCGGAAAGCCGCGCCGCCTAGTTTGCAGCCCGCCGCAGACGCCTCTCCCCTTGCCCCAGCCCAGCGCACTGGGCTTGCGCAATAGACCTCTCCCGGCTCCGGGCTCTACACACCGGCGGGAGGTTGGGGGAAGGCCTAGAAACGCGAATGGGGCGGGGCTAGGGAGGGGCCCGAGGGGGAGGGGCCGGCGCCTTGGGGGCCCGGGTGGGGGGGCGGAATAAGAAGAGGCTTAACCAGGAATTCTGGCGCAGCGCTGAGGACTATCACCATCACTGGATTGAGCTACTGGTGGAGGATTGGCTCCCTCTAGGACTCGCGAGGTCCCGAAAGGGACGCGGGTAGAGGCGGATTGGTTTGAGAAAGAATTGCGCTGGGCTTTTGGGTTCGGGCTCTGTGCTTTTATTTTGGTGTCTTCTGAGACATTTTGAATGATTTTCTAATAGTCAATAAAAAAATCAGCCCTTCGTCTCGCTATCTCTGCGTAATTCTAATGGCAAATTCAAAATTATTCACTGTGGCCCTTGATCTCAGAATGGTGCTCAACACCTGAAAGTTGGAATTCTGGTTTTACTTACATGTATAGTTGTCTACTCTTCAGCCTACGTAATTACTGTGAAAGAATGACACAGTATTCTTACCATGGCTCGCTGCACGAATGTTAATGGAAATTAGTCGTTGGTTTTTAAGGCATTGAGTTTTGGATTAATATCTTAAATCCATTGATTTCATTTTTCTAATTAGGAAAAAGAGCAAGCAACCTCTTGAAAGTCAATGCAAGTTTAATTGCAAACCAATTGCAATTAAAACAAAAACCTCAGAAACTAAAAGCTGTCCACCAATACATTGTACATTCATACTGAGTGATTTTGGGAATCTGAGTATTTAGTAAATTTAGCTTAGAATTAGATTAGACTGGGAAACCTCTCTCTTCTTCATTCCTGTCCTATAATATGTGTTTAATATATTCGCCTAAAATTATAGATTTTTTTCTTAGTTGACTTGATTTTTAAAAACTGACACTATTTTAAAATACATGCTTATTTTAGAAAATATAGATGACCAAGAAATAAAAATCCCCCATGTAATCCCACTACGCAGTTTGGTGCATTCCCTTCTAGACTTTTCCCAACTGTGCTACATACATAAATATATTGCAGTAATACAATATGATACATATTACTGTAACATGAAGGTTTTCTGTCATCATCTCATCAACGTTGTTTCTTGCTAATCTACAATTACAAAATGGCTGCCTGGTGTTCTATTTCCCTACTGTTTAGAATTCTATGTACCCAACTTGAATTTTTTGATTGTCGGGTTTTTTCCTCTTTTGTTTTTAAGATAATAGCTTCTATTTTTGTTTGTTTTGTTTTGTGTACCCCCCCAACATTTTTATTATGGTAAAATACATAACATAACATACAACACATAAAATCTATCATCTTAACAATTTTTAAGTACGATTTCATGGTATTAAGTAAATTCATAATGTTGTGCAATTGTCACCACCATCCATCGCCAGAACTTTTTCATTCTTGTAAAATGAACTCTATACCCATTTAATAATAATTCCCATTCCACCCCACCCCAACCCTCAGCACCTGACAACCATGATTCTACTTTCTGTCTTATGATTTTGACTACTCCAAATACCTCATATAAGTGGGAATTTATAGTATTTGTCCTTTTGTGACTGGCTTATTTCACTTGTCTTCAAAGTTTCATCCATGATGTAGCATGTGTCAAAATTGCCCTCTTTTTAAAGGCTAAATCATATTCCATTGCATGTATATACCACATTTTGCCTATCCATATCTGTTAATGTACACTTGGGTTGCTTCCACATTTTAGGTATTGTGAATATTATCACTATAAACATGGTATACCAATATCTCTTCCAGATCCTGCTTTCAATTCTTTTGGTTATGTAGCCAAAATTGCTAGATCATATGGTAATTCTATTTTTAATTTTTGAGGAACCATCATATGCTTTTTCACAATGGCTATACCACTTTACATTTCCATCAACAGTGCACAAGAGTTCCAATTTCTCCACATCCTCATTAATACTTTTTTTTTAATAGTAGCCATCCTAATGAGTATAAGGTGGTATGTCATTGTAATTTTCATTTCTGTTTCCCTGATGATTAGTGATGCTGAGCATCATTCCACATGCTTATTGGCCATTTCTTTGAAGAAATATCTACCAAGTCCTTTTACCATTTTTAATTGGATTTGTATTTTTGTTGTTGAGTTTTAGGAGTTCTCTACATGTTCTATATATTAATCTCTTAGATGTATGATTTGCAAATATTTTCTCACAGTCGACAGGATTGGTTGCCTTTTTACTCTGTTGATATTGTCTTTGGATGTATATTGTCTTCTGTGTCTTTTAAAAAACAGAGATTTTATTTTCATGAAGTTTCCAATTTGTCCATTTTGTCTTTTGTTGCCTGCATCTTTAGTGTCATATCCAAGTTAATAATTGGAAAATTTAATGACATGAAGTTTTGCCCTATTTTCCTTCTAAGATTTCTATAATTTTAAGTCTCACATTTAGGTGTTTAATCCATTTTTAGTTAATTTTTGCATAGGGTGTTAGGTAAGAGTCCAACTTTATTCTTTTGCATGTGGATATCCATTTTCCGAGCATCATTTGTCGATAAGACTGCCCTTTCCTTATTTAATGGTATTGGCACTCTTGTTGGAAATCATTTGATCATATATGTAAGGTTTTATTTCCTGGCTCTCTATTCTTTTGGTCCATATGTCTGCTTTTATGCCAGTACTGTGCTGTTTTTGTTACAGTAGCTTTGTAGTAAGTCTGAAATAGAAGGAAGTGTGAATCCTCCAGCTTTGTTCTTCCCTTTCAAGACTGCTTTGGCTATTTAGGGTTCCTTGAGATGTCATATGAATTTCAGGATGAGTTTTTCTATTTTTGCAAAACTGTCTCTGTGAATGTAATAGGGATTGAATTATAAACACTTTGAATATAGCATTGACATCTTAATATTAAGTATTGCAATCAATGAACATGGGCTGTGCTTGCATTTATTGATGTTTAATTTCTTTTATCATGGTTTTGAAGTTTTCAATGTACAAGTCTCTCACCTCCTTGGTTAAGTTAATTCCTAAGTATTTTTTATGCCATTGTAAATAGAATTGTTTTCTTAATTTCCTTTTTGGATTGTTCATTGTTGTATAGAAATACAACTAATTTTTGTGTGTTGAATTTGTAGTTTGCTAAGTTGTTAAATTCATTCATTACTTCTAACATTTTTTGTTGAAATCTTTAGTGTTTCTACATATAAGATTATGTAATCTGTGAACAAAAATAATATTACTTGTTTCTTTCCAATTTGTTAAAAAAAACTGTCCTCATTTAATGAATGGTATTGGCCTTTTGTCAAAAATCATTTGACTATATATGTAAGGGTTTATTTCTGGGCTCTCAATCTATTCCTTTGGTCCATATGCATTTTAATTCTTTTTCTTGATGAATTGGTTTGGCTATAACTTCCAGTACTGTGTTGAATAGAAGTGGCAAAAGTAGGCCTTCTTACCTTGTTCCTGATCTTTGATGAAAAGTTTTTCTCACCAGTGAGTATGATCATTGTGGGGTTTATATAGCTTTTATTATGCTGAAGTAGTTTCCTTCTAATCCTAGTGTACTGTTTTGTTTTGTTTTGTTTTGTTTTTTAAATCATGAAAGGATAGTTTGTGTATCTCTAAGGGCCTCAGCACTCCTTGTTGGTTTACTTATCTACATCCTTGATAATTTTTCAATTATCTTTAAAATGTCAGCTGAGGGTGTCTTCTGTTGCCTACCATGTTCAGATTCATAGAATGTGACCATATTGTCCAGAGGAAATATGCTGGTAGCTGAGAGTGAAGGGTGGGATGAGGAAAGATAAAGAAGACAGATGTGCTTCTGTACAGGAGATAAAATGAACAAGAGTTGGTAAAGATTTGGGAGATATTTACATTGACCTTGGTTTCTTTTTTGTAAATTATATTTTACTGACTATGCTATTACAGTTGTCCTGATTTTCCCCCCTTTGTGACCCTCTACCCAGTATCCCCTGCTCCCTTAGGCAGTCCACTCACCATTGTTCATGTCCATGGATCATGAGTCTAAGTTCTTTGGCTACTCTACTTCCTATACTGTACTTTACATCCCCATGGCTATTCTGTAACTACTTATTTGTACTTCCTAATCCCCTCACCTCTTCACCCATTCCCCCACACCACTTCCCATCTGTGGATAGGTATGCTTTTTTTTTTTTTTTTGCCATTGTATTGTTCATTGTTTTGGTGTCCTTTTTCTTAAATAAGTTCCTTTAACATTTCAGATAACAATGGTTTGGTGATGATGAACTTTAGTTTTTTTCTTATCTGGGAAGATATTTATCTGCCCTTTGCTTCTAAACAATAGCTTTGCTGAGTAGAGCAACCTTGGCTGTAGGTCCCTGCTATTCATAACTTGGAATATTCCTTGTCAGTCCCTTCTAGCCTGCAAAGTTTCCTTTGAGAAATCAGCTGACTGTGTTATGGGAACTCCCCTGTAGATAACTAACTGCTTTTACCTTGCTGCTTTTAAGATTCTCTCTTTATCTTTAACCTTTGGCACTTTAATTATGATGTGTCTTGGAGTGGGCCCTTTGCATCCATCATGCCTATTTTCATCATCAAATTAGGAAAGATTTTTTCATTATTTTTTCAAATAGATTTCCAATTTCTTGCTCTTTCTCTTCTCCTTCTGGCAACCCTAAGATGTGAATTTGGACCTCTTGAAGTTGTCCTGGAGGCTGTTTATACTATTCTCATTTCTCCTGGATTCTTTTTTCTTCTTGTTCTGATTGGTTGTTTTTTTGTTTCTTTATGTTCCAAATCATTGGCTTGATTCTTGGCTTCATCCATTCAACTGTTGTTTCCCTGTAAATTGTTCTTTATTTCGATTAGCAAATCCTTAATTTCTGACTGA